ATTTTATTTCTCATAGTGCCCCAATGAGATGTTCTTACTCTTATATTCCTATCTTATAGATGAAGAAACTGAGGCTCAGGGGTGAAGCCACACAGCTAAAAAATGGCAGTCAGGATTTGCATACCAACATATTTGCACTGCAAATGTGTTGGTGATGATCTTTCTTTCTAATGACGGCTGTGCTTTTTAATGATGGCTGGGATATTCATGACATTGGCTGATTAAAAGCTACTGGTAGATATTTATATTATTGAAGTTTGTACCCGAATGGACTTGCTACAAATTTATCTTATTTCCTTCCCCAAGTCTTGGGCCATGGACTCATGAAAACTGGTAGTAATCTTATATTCTCTCTTCCAGATTTAATAGAAATGTGAATACATTTAATTGCCTTGCAGGGTCAACCATTTAACTGGTACTCAAAATATATCAGTAAATTTATCAATAGATAAGTTTTGATAAGAGCTTAATTATTTTATAAGATATAGGGGATATAAGTGAAAAATAGTGGCTAAAAAGATCAGTATGTTTCTAAAAGTTTCTAAGCGTTTGAATGTTTGCACACACACACACACACACATTCCAGATAATTAACTATAATTTCCATTTTGTTTTGATATTTTGTAGAAACGGTTTAGGAGAAGCAAAGTCTAACAGGGACTCAACATAATAGGAATGACACAAGAGATTATTCCAAGTCATATTCCTAATAAAACAAAGAAAAATCAGCAGCCATAATTTGTGAGGCTTAAATTTTGTATAGGAGTATTATTTCTGAATGGAAAACATTCTGTTATATATAAAAGCCTCAAGACTTCATGTACTAATAGTGAGCAGATGTCTAATTCAAACTATAATGGTAGAAACAAAACTACAAAAAAGGATTCAAAGATTAAGAATTAGAGACAGAGTATGCAAACGACAATCAGGAAATATAATGAAATAAAATATTTGTTATGGCATGAAATATCTGGAATAAAACTTTATTAGGTTTCTTAATGGTTACAGTCTACAGAAACCAATCCTGGCTATTCTAAGCAGGAAAGGATTTTAGGGGCAGGTGATAGGCTAGCTCATAGAATCAATGGGAAGACTAGAGAACCAGAGAAATAGGCTGAAATAAAGGAATCTAGGCAGTTCAAACATAGCCAAATTTATACTGTGTGAACAGTGTCATCAGGATGCAGACACTGTCATCTCTGGGACTGGGGTCAGCTATGTGGCCACCTCAGCTACATATAATTTCTAAGTATCACTCTCTTTTTGGATGACTTTCCTAACATTTGAATCCTGGGGTGACTATCTCATTGGCTATCCTATGTCATGTGTGTGTAAACAAATAGGAAGGAAGTGCTATGTAGCCCAAACCAAAAACAAAACACAATAACAGATGGCTCTCAGAGACCTTTGGTTACCAACTGTCATTATGCATCCTTTTTCTAGTACTTATGTTTTCAATTAAAACTTCCTTCTATGACAAAGGAGCCAAGAAGATATACAATGAAGAAAGGACAGTTTCTTCAATAAATGGTGCTGGGGAACCTGGGCCACCACAGGCAAAAGAATGAAACTAGACCACTATCTTAACGCTGTACACAAAATCAAATCAAAATGGATTACATATTTGAATGTAAGACCAGAAACCATAAAGCACCTTGAAACAACATAGACGGTAAATCCCTGGCATTGGTCTTGGTTGGCAGTGATTTTTTGGAATCGACACCAAAAGGAAAGGCAACAAAAGCAAAAACAAACAGTTGGGACTATAGCAAACTAAAAAGCTTCTGCACAACAAGGAAACTATCAGCAAAATAAAAAGGCAGCCTCTTAAATGGAAGAAAATATTTGAAAATCGTGTATCTGACAAGGAGTTAATATCCAAAATACATAAAACTCATACAACTCATGGGCAAAATAAATTTTTTCTGATTTAAAATTGGGCAGAGGATCTGAATAGGCATTTTTCCAAAGAAGACATACAAATGGCTAACAGGCACATAATAAGGTGCTCAACATCATTAACCAGGGAAATGCAAATCAATACCACAACGGCATATCACCTCACACCTCTTCTAACGGCTATTATCAGAAAGACAAGAAAGTATTGTCACGGTTGTATAGAAATGGCAACTGTTGGTGGGAATACAAACTGGTGCAGCCACTATGAAAAACAAAATGGAGGTTTCTCAAAAAGTTAAAAATAAAACTGACCATATCATCCAGTAACTCTTCTGAGTATTTATCCAAAAAAAGTGAAAACACTAACTGAAAAAGATAAATGTACTCCCATATTCACTGCAGCATTGTTTGTAACAGCCAAGATTTAGAAACTAGCTAAGTGCCCATCAATTAATGAATCAATGGATAAAGAAAATGATGAACAATGGAACATTATTCAGGCATTAGTAAGAAGGAAAAAATTGCCATTTGTGACAACACTGACAGACCTTGAGGGCATTAAGCTAAATGAAGTAAGGCAGACAGGGAAAGATAAACACTGTATGATCTCACTTTTGTCTGGAATCTAAAACAAACAAACAAACAACCAAGCTTGTAAACACAAAGAACAGATTGGTAGTTGCCAGAGGTAGGGGAGGGGGAAAAATGTGTGAAGGGGGTTAAAAGGTATAAACTTCCAGTTATAGTCACAAGGATGTATTGCAGAGCATGATGACTATAGTTAAAATAATACTGTATTGTATATTTAAAAGTGCCAAGTGGTCCTGGGTGGCTCACTCAGTTAAGTGTCTGACTGTTGATTTCGGCTCAGGTCATGATCTCATGGTTCTTGAGTTTGAGCCCCATGTCAGGCTCTGCACTGACAGCATGGAGCTTGCTTTGGATTCTCTCTCTACCCCTCCGTTGTTCATGCTCACTTTCTCTCTCAAAATAAATAAAAAAATAAGCTTAAAAAATAAAAAAAAGTTGATAAAAAGAGTAGATCTCAAAAGTTCTCATAAGAAAAAAATTTTGTGACTATGCATGGTGACAGACATTAATTAGACTTATTGTGATGATCATTTTGCAATATATAAAGATACAGAATCATTATACTGTACTCCTGAAACTAATATATGTCAATTATATTTCAATAAAAACAAAACAAGCAGAACAAAATAAAAACTTCCTTCTGATATAATACAATAATCCAATATATAATTTTTAAAAGTCACACTCTTTTCCAAAATGGAGTCTTTTTTTTTCCTCTCAACAATGCTGTAATAAAGGCATTATTATTATTATTTTTTACAAATAGTTTATAGTCAAGTTGGTTTCCATATAACACCCAGTGCTCATCCCCACAAGTGCCCTCCTCCATGCCCATCTCCCCCTTCTCCCCCCAACACCCATCAGTCCTCAGTTTGTTCTCAGCATTCAAGAGTCGCTCATGGTTTGCCTCTCTCCCTTTCCCCCACCATTTCCCCCCTTCTTCTCCCCCATGGTCCTCAGCTAAGTTCCTCCTAATCCTCCTATACGTGCAAACATATGATATTTGTCCTTCTCTGCCTGACTTATTTCGCTCAGCATAACACCCTCAAGGTCCATCCATGTTGCTACACATGGCCAGATTTCATTGTTTCTCATTGCCATGTAGTATTCCATGGTATAGATAAACCACATCTTCTTGATCCATTCATCTGTTGATGGACACTTAGGCTCTTTCCATGTTTTAGCTATTGTGGAGAGTGCTGCTATGAACATTGGGGTCCATGTGCTCCTATGCCTCAGCATTTCTGTATCCCTTGGGTAAATTCCTAGCAGTGCTATTGCTGGGTCATAGGGGAGTTCTACTGTTAGTTTCCTGAGGAACCTCCACACTGTTTTCCAGAGGGGCTGTACCAGTTTACATGCCCACCAACAGTGTAGGAGGGTGCCCGTTTCTCCACATCCTCGCCAGCATCTAGAGTTCTCTGATTTGCTCATTTTAGCCACTCTGATTGGTGTGAGGTGGTATCTCAGTGTGGTTTTGATTTGTATTTCCCTGATGAGGAGGGATGCCGAGCATCTTTTCATGTGTTTTTTGGCCATCTGGATGTCCTCTTTGGAGAAGTGTCTGTTCATATCTTCTGCCCAAAATGGAGTCTTTTAAAAGTCTTTCCTTTTAAAAAATTTTTTCATTCATTCATTCATTCATTTTTGAGAGAGAAAGAGAGAGACAGAATGCAGGGAAGGGGCAGAGAGAGGAGACAGAGAATCCCCAGCAGGCTCCATGCTGTTAGCACAAATCCGATGTGGGCTCAAACCCACAAACTGTGAGATCATGATCTGAGCTGAAACCAAGAGTTGGACACTTAACCGACTGAGCCACCCAGGAACCCAAGAAGTCTTTTATTGCATTTTGTTCTGAGTCCAAGATCTCTGCATAGTGGGCATTTCTCCTCATTTTATGCTGTGATCTTGTCTTGTTATGTATGGATAATGTCTCAGCATTACTAAACCTAAGTACTTTACATAGAGACGGCAGCACATGATAGCTCTAATGATACATGTGAATTTTCTTGGTGACAAAAATCAAAGGTACTGCTAACACTATTGTGGTTTGCTGCTTATCAGAGTCCACAAGAGGTAGTTCAAAGGAAGAACTTGATGTGGGTTGTTAATGACAATGGGGAATAGGAAAGACAAATGGGAGATGGTGAGGCCACCCAGACACTGCAACAGCAAACAGCTGAGAACAGCTGCATTACTGAGGCTGAAAGGACAAAGGGAAGACCTGGTATTTTATTTTATGTTTTTAATTAAAAAATTATTTTTAATGTTTTATTTATTTCTGAGAGAGAGAAAGAGAGACAGCATGAATGGGGTGAATCAGAGAGAGAGGAGACACAGAATCCGAAACAGGCTCCAGTCTCTGAGCTGGCTGTCAGCACAGAGTCCGATACGAGGCCCGAACCCATGAACTGTGAGATCATGACCTGAGCCAAAGTCAGACGCTTAACCGACTGAGCCACCCAGGAGCCCCAAGACCTGGTGTTTTAAAAGCCCAGGAGCCAGATCACCTGCCTGGAGCTGGATCCTTGACTGGGGCTGCTCATCAGAACCTGGGACGATGGGTGGGGAGGCCTGGAACTGGTAGTGGACATGGCTTCTGGAAGACAGGCCGCCTGAAGCAGGGAATGGAGATAAAGACAATCAGTTTTCTCTTCCTCCTACTCTCTGCTCTTCTTCTTTTGGTAGGGAAATGGTAGTTTGCACATGTCTGAAACACGGATTTAGAGAAAACAGGCAGTCCAGTAAAGCCAATGGCAATGCTCCTCAGAATAACGTTTCCAGAATCATGAAGTAAAATACATAAAATCATAAAAGAAACCACCTTTTTGAAATATACTTCATAAAATATAACAACAACTTTGCAATAAAGTAAAATTATACTTCTTTCATAATGTATATGAATAACAAGATCTAGCAGCAGGTATAATAACTGCCACGATTTCAAATTGTGAGGAACACAGAAATATTTTACTACAGTATGTAACAAATTGTAATGTAATAAAAAGAGATCTGACTGTTCTCAGTGACAAAGCCACAGCTATTGCTGATACCCTTGTGGTCTGTTGCTGCCATTCATAGCTGAGAGTTTGTTAAATTTCTGTTGGTGTAGTAAAAAGATGTAACTATTTTTCCTCATCCACACTCACAGCTTTCTTGGAGAATCACTTGAATTCTGCCAGAAATTTCTGCACCTGTCAGCTAACTCTCCCACTTCCATGTTTGCTTAAATCTTCCCTTCTTATTGAGGCTTATCTGGTCCTACTTTGTCCACCATATTTAATTGTCCCTTTCCCCTGTGCAGCATAACTTTAAAAATGCTGCCTTGACCCAGTTTTGGGGCCCTGGTTCGAGGCTGGTGAGTCCCTTTCTAGAGAATCTAGAGAATCTACACTCCCAAACACTTCACTTGTTGGGCTCCAGACCACCACACATCACCCTAATCAGCTGGGGCCCGGTGCCAGACACAAGGAACAGCCACTATGCCCCAGAGTCCAAGAAGTTTTTCAAGTTAGCCAATCCACAGGGAGCCCTTGAAACCTAGCTCACCTCAGTTGCCACATATAAACTATCTTCTATAGCTCTGGCTTAGTGTTACTCGATCCCTAGGACAAAACCCAGCACGTGGCCCTGAGTAAAATCCTTCCTTCATTAAGTAGCCAAAATTCCACCTTTCATCTATTTGAGTGTGCTTCCATCAAAAAACAATCTTTAAATCTTATAGAACAACTTGATTCTTCCCTGGATTTTCCTTTCTCCCCTGTTCTTCTCTACTTTTTGTTTCGTTTGTTTGTTTGCCCTTAGTACTCATTATCTTTTAGAGGTTCCCTAGAAGGTCTTACCCCACACTGGAATGAAAACTTTAAGGCAAGATTTCATTTTTTGTTTTCTGGTGTGTCCCAGGCACTCAGACAGTGCCTGACACATAACAGTCTCTCTATACACATGTACTGAATGAACACATGAATCACCTTCCCGTGCGTCTTGTGATCAGTCACTCTGGGCAACATCTTCAGTTGAAGGACAACAACCCATTTGTACATGAACAAGGTACATGAAAAGCCTGAAATGGGATGTGGCTGTTGTAGTTTCCAATTCAATGGGACCATTTACTGGGTCTCTTGGTAAGAGCTTTTCCCCTCTGGATGCCAAAAAGCTTCTAAGCTACTGGAGCTCAGGCTCACAGAGAGGCGAAAAGTTGTGAGTAGGTTTTCAGGGGTCATCACAATAAGGACTACCCTTCTGCAACCCTGTAGTCTCTGAATCTGCAAAATATGGCTACAGAAGATACAGTTTTGTGCATCAGTTACAGTTTCAAAGTATACATGGCATCTTGCAAAATAGCATCATGCCCCTGAAAGGTGGCCCAGGTGGTGCTGTCACAGACTATTTGCCATTCTAAAAAGCCAACAGCTAAAATAAACTATTGGGGCTATAGCAAAATAAAAAGCTTTTGCATAGTGAAGGAAATCATCAACAAAACAAAAAGGCAATCTACTGAATGGGAGAAGATATTTGCTAGTTATACATCTGATAAGGGGTTAATACTCAAAATATATACAAAGCTTATATAATTCAACACCAAAAAAACCCCAAAACAAAACAAAAAACAAAACCAATCTGTTTAAGTAATCAGCAGAGGACCTAAACAGACATTTTTGGCCAAAAAAACACATAAAAAGATGCTCAACATCAACATTCATTAAAGAAGTGCAAATTAATATCATAGTGAGACAGCACCTTATATCTGTCAGAATGGCTCAAATCAAAAAGATAAGAATAAAAAAGTGTTGCCAAAAATGTGGAGAAAAAAGAACCCTTGTACACTGTTGGTAGCAATGTAAATTGGTACAACCCCTATGGGAAAAAGGTATGGAGGTTCCTCAAAAAATTAAAAATAGACGTACCATAAGATCCTATCATTCCACTACTGGGTATTACCTGAAGAAAATGAAAAGACAAATTTGAAAAGATTGTATGTTTGTCTACCATATTTAATTGCCCCTTACACACACACACACACACACACACACACACACACATACACACACACCCCTATGTTTATTGCAGTATTATTTACAATAGCTAAGATATGGAAACAACTTAAGTATCCACTAACAGACAAATGGATAAGGAAGATGTGGTATATGTATACAATGAAATATTATGCAGGGGCACCTGGGTTGCTCAGTCAGTTAAGTGTTTGACTTTGGCTCAGGTCATGATCTCATGGTTCGTGAGTTCAAGCCCCACGTTGGGCTCTGTGTTGACAGAGTGGAGCCTGGAGCCTGTTGCAGTGTCTCCCTCTTTCTCTGCCCCCACGCCCGACTCTGTCTCTTTCTCTGTCAAAAATAAACATTTACAAGATTAAAAAAAGGAATATTATGCAGATATAAAAAGGATGGGATCATGCCATTTGAGACATCAAAAATGGACCTAGAGGATATTATACTAAATGAAATAAGTCAGACTGAGAAAGACAAATACCACATAATTTCACTTATATGTGGAACCTGGAAAAACCAAATGACTAACAAACAAAAAGCAGAATCAGAGCTATAAATACAGAGAATAAATTGATGGTTGCCAGAGGAGAGAAGGGCAGTGGAATGAGCAAAATGGGTGAAGGGGAATGGGAGACACAGGCTTCCAGTATGGAATGAATAAGCCATAGGGATAAAAGGCACAGTATTAAGAATATAGTCAATGGTATTGTAACAGTGCTGAGCACAGCATAATGTAGAAACTTATGGAATCCTTTCCACTACATTGTACACCTGCAACTAATGTAACATTTTACGTCACCTATACTTAAAATTAAAGCCAACTTTTGGATGGTAAGTTTCGTAATAGGACCAGTATCTGTTTTGATTTCTTTTCCTATATAAAAAAGTCCACTGATTAGAAGTAATGTCGCACAGAATAGCATGATATTTTAAGCTCTATTGAATAAGTTTTTCAGTAGAAGTGCTGGAAGAAGCATGATGGGTAGAGCAAATAATCAGGATAATAGGACAGGTTTTTGCCATTACCACAATGTAATCAACTGGCCGCTGGTGGCCGGCTAGTCCCCTGTAAGCCCTGAGACTATATCAGGGCTCAGGATTGTCTGTAGCCACTGGGAAATGAAGATTCAGAAGTGCCACTTTTGAAGTCATTCTTTTTTTTTTAATTTTTTAAAATGTTTATTTATTTTCAAGAGAGATAGACAGACAGAGTGTGAGTTGGGGAGGAGCAGAGAGAGACAGAGAATCTATAAAAGGCTCCAGGCTCTAAGCTATCAGCACAGAGTCCGATGCAAGACTCAAATTCAGGTAATGGCAAGATCACAACCTAGGCTGAAATCGGACACTTAACTCACTGAGCCACCCAGGTGCCCCAAAGTCATTCTTATGGGGCAAAGTCCCACAGCCATTTCCATATGTGGACAGATTGTGTTCTAAATCTTCTAATAATTCAAATTTCTTCCATCAAAAAATATGTGTATTTTTCTCACATCCCTTCCAGTCATAGATGGCATTGCTCTTTCTAAGTTTTGACAGTAGATATTACTTTTTTTTTTTAATGTTTTATTTATTTCTAGGAGAGAGAGAGAGACAGCGTGAGCAGGGGAGGGTCAGAGAGAGAGGGAGTCACAGACTGAAACAGGCTCCAGGCTCCGAGCTGGCAGTCAGCACAGAGCCCGCCGCGGGGCTCCAAACCACGAACCGCGAGATCATGACCTAAGCGAAAGTCGGACGCTTAACCGACTGAGCCACCCAGGCGCCCCGACAGTAGATATTACTTTAATTACATTTCTCTGATGACACCTTTTACGTGTTGGCTATCTGCATACTTGTTAGTGAAATATCTGTTAATATTCTTTATTCACTTTTCTTTTGAGTTTATCTTTATTTTTACAGGTCTTAAGGACTCTAGATATTATATTCTTTGTCTATCATATTGTAAATAGTTTTTCCAAATCTACTGTTTTTCTAGGACTTTAGATGTGAATTCTTTGCAACTCAAAAGTTAATGTTTTTTATATTATCCAAATATTTTCCTTAAAAGCTCTAAAATTTTCTGTTTAAAAAAATTTTTTAATGTTTTATTTATTTCTGAGAGAGAGAGACACAGGGTAAGCAGGAGAAGGTCAGAGAGAGAGGGAGACACAGAATCTGAAGCAGGCTCCAGGCTCTGAGTTAGCTGTCAGCACAGAGCCCGATGTGGGGATCAAACCCACGAACTGTGAGATCATGACCTAAACCGATGCCGAACGCTTAACCAACTGAGCCACCCAGGCGCCCCCTAAATTTTGTTTTAAGAAACCATCCCCTATCCATAGATTGAATGTATAGCTTCCAAGATTTAGTTCTAAGATATTTACTGATTTATATTTTATACTTGTTTTTAATAACTTTAGATTTCATTTTAGTACATAACCTAAGAGAGGTCCAACTTCATTTTTTTCCAACTTGGACAAGAGGCTGTGTCAGCTCCATTTACTATGTAACACCTTCTTTCATGATTGAATAAAACAACAATTTTGTCATTGACTGCATTATTATATATATTGGGAACTTTTTCTGGATTGTGTCTTTGTCCTACTGACCTATTTGTATCTTACTATGGCAGT